CAGCCACTAATTTGGAGGCTGGTTATCTCTCCATGACCTAGATAATAATAATTATATTTTAAAATGTAGTAATATTAATATAATAAATTAATTAATACCGCAATCAGTGTATTGAATGCCCGCTTTGGCCACTTGTTTGTGGCAAACTGTGAAACCTATGGCAACATATAAAAACAAAAATTTCAACATTTGAACTAATATACCAATTAAAATGAATTTTATAATTATTACAATTTACAATTTTGAAAATTAAAGTGACAGTAGAATGCATTATTGCGGTATTTATGCAAATAAACTTCCTGTAAAAATATAGTTGCTTTGTATGACAAGTTACAATTTAAAACATATTTAGTTAAAATTAATCATAATAAATGTGTTTTATAAATGATTGATATGTTTAATAATAATAATAATATAGTACGGTAATAACATTTATAAGTTAGATTACATTAATGAAATTTAAATAGTTACCTTGGACAATTAAATGTAAATTATTGTAACATAATTTTAAATAACACATAACTTGATAAATTTAAAAATTTTGAAAATAAATGAAATGACAATTTCTGTCAGATGTTGAAGTGGCGCCAAGTATTGCCAATTTTTATATGAATTTTTTGATTAACTTCATATTTATATGGTAAAAATTATTATAGTAATATTAATAATGTAATCATGTTTATAAATTGTATTAATTAAAAATATTTTTATAAAATAATGTATCCTCTAATTAAACAATAAAAATATCAACTTGTTTATTTATATGGTTAAACACTAAGTAGTTGTATAAGCAATATCAATAATAATAATTATGTAAATTAATTTAAAGCAAGGAATAAATTCATATTTCAATAAGGGTAGATTATGTTAGCAGTATGTAAAGCATATGATTTTTATAACAATAAATAAACACAAGAATCTTGATTTGAATATTGTTAATTATTAATTAATTAAAATTATATAATTATTAAAATAAATTCACATTTGGTTTAAGATTCATGTGTTTCATAAGATGATTACGTTTTATAAAAATAATTATCATGTTTTTAACATTATAAGTGAGATTTCATAAATGCAATTAATAATTTGTAAGAATTTTAGTCTTATTTATATAATATAAATTATATTAAACAATTTCAAAATAGTTTTGCCATGATCCGAGTATTTGTTTATTAATTGGATGGTAATGTTAGGTTTATTATTAAATAGGATATATTTATGATAATTATGCTTACAAATTATCAATGTTATTTATAGTTATCAAAGTTATTAAACTTAAAAATATTTAAGTTATATTTTAAAACAAAATGATTATATATTAAAGGTTGTAAACAGATTATAAATTAAATTATTGTAATTATTGTTGGATATAAGCAAGTTCCGTAAAACTATAATAAAATGTTTTAAGAAACTTATGTAAAGAGCGTGTTATGCATTTTCATTGGACTAAATGGAAGAAGTTTTAAAAATGCAAAACATATCCTGTATATAAAAGTACCATCATACAGGATATTGTACATGGTATACCTAAATGTATCATGACAGTACATCTCGGGCATACAGTTATTAAATAAAATTATTAAATAATAATAATCATAAATATCCTACATCGTTGATAATGGTTTGAAAATATTAACATCTGGCACATTTTCTTTGGCAATATTCTAAAGTATAAATATAAACGTAAAAATTGTTGAAAATTATTCTAAAAATTATTCTTTAAGTAAAATTAGAACTAATTTTAAAGCAAAACAGCTATGTTGAAGTTTGTGTGTTTGACCTTGTTCGTTAGTATTGTCTCAGCAAACACTACCTTCAAAGACTGTGGTTAGTGTATTCTATTAAACAATATATTTAGTATAAAAACTAACTGGTGAGATTATATTTAGGACACGGAGAGGTGACCGACGTTGACATTGTCCACAAGGGAAAGGAAACTTTATTTGTAGTTACTTACAAAGCGAGTGAGTATTGAACATAATTAATATTTATTACAATATTATAATTGACAAATTCAAATATGCTAATAAAACTCAAATTCAGACCAGGATACCGTTAAAACTACATGGGATTTGTTGGCCATTGTGGGTGGACTGGAATTGGACCTAGCTACACTGATACCGAAGTTTGACAAAGATGGCTGTCACGAGACTCCCTGTCCTATCAGGAAGAGTGAGACCAAAGTACTCACATTCCGGGTCACACTTCCCGATAGCGTGCCATCCATTGAGTCGGACTTTAAGGCCGTTCTTACCGGTGAAAAGGGGAACCTGTTTTGCGCCATCATTCATGGTTAAAAATAATTTAAAACGAGTTAAATGTTAATTTTTTAATTGACCCGATTTGCGATTTTAATTTACCCAAAATAACGAATAAAAGTAAAATATTAAAGTAGTGGATTAAAAATTTGTCGGTTTAAAAAGTGCGGACTTTAATAATGGAATTAAGTAAATATTTAAATGATGATTAGATTTGATTGATTTAGATTATTAATTAGCGGCCAATAATGAGTTGGTCATTTTCAACTTCTAGATTTATATTTTTATTAATAAATATGTCGTAATATAATATATTATGTTTTGTTTTATGTATTTTTAAAATTTTGAATTTTTCAAAAAATGCAATATTCTAAAGTAGCCTATAGGGATAAACGAAGGAACCATTTATAATTATGCAAACTTTACTGACATAGATTTTACTCGTTTTTAAATTGTGTGCCAGCTTGTTAAAAAGTTATTGTTTATATAATAACGCAATATTCTGTTACATATTTAAAATGTGTCGACAAATTGCAGTTTAATCCAAGTATTAATACTGTATATATTTTGCATTGTAAACAATTAAACCTAATGTCAATGTACTATGGTGCTATGTACTGGTGCCATAACACTATTAATAAGTTTTCGATAAGTTTGCAATAAAAAGTGTTGCAACCGTTTGACAGCATTGATGTTAGTCGGCATTTTGGTCGACCGCTGACCGTCTGAAAAGGGATTCAAAACAATACCAACTGATTTTAACCGTATAGAAGTTAAACAAACCTGATTGAAATATATTATACAAGTACATACATTAAGTGACAGTTTTTGAATCATTTAATTTTATTATAATAAAGAAACTTTATAAATATTTAAGGCAATATTTGAGGGAACCTTAAAAATTACTATGTTTGATATAATTTATTGTCTTTGCAAAAAGTGTATACAGTATTTTACCGATTTTATTTTATTAATAAATGCGAATGTGAATTTGATAAATTGCAGTTGGCAGTTAATTTAATAAACATTGCTTATTATTTATTTAAATTATATTTTAAAATATAGCATACAATATCGTTCTTAGTAAATACATCCTTAAACTGTCTAAAATATTGTAAATTATTAAAATGACATGCTAACAAATGATTATTACCTTATTATTGGACATTATTATCAAATATTATAACTGGGCTTGATTTTTCAAGTGTAAAAGGAATTTTTAAGAATTTATATTACATGATAAAATGCTTAATTATTTTCTTACAAATTAATTATAACAAATTGAAAAATTATTTTGTAATTATAAAATATATTAAAACTTTTTTCAATATTAAATTTAATTGATTATTGAGTTTGAAGTATTTACATGAGTTATTGAAAACATATAAAATTTATTATATGCCCAATTTAATAAAAACTAATTCTTTAATCATTAAATTGACATGCAAATAAAAAAATGCATAACGACCAATGTAATCTATCAATAATACAATACATTGATTATCCCAAAATAGAAATGATTTCAACCTACTTCAAGTGTTACAAAAACAAAATTTATCTTCCTAGTAATAATCTAGCAATTGTTGACAATATCTGTTTGTAAGTATAAATATTGAGACTGTTTCTAGCTAAATATTTAATTTAAATATTTTTATATAAAATTCAACCTGATCAAAGTGCATTAAAAAATGTTTAAAATGGTCTTTTTGACCCTCATTATAACCGCTGTCTCGGCTGACATTGACTTCAAAGACTGCGGTTAGTATATTACAAAGTCATTTACCAATTTTATAATAGTTTACCATGGTGATTTTAAATGTAGGAAACAAGGAGGTAATCAAGGTTGAGGTGAGCGGCTGCCCAAACAACCCATGTATTGTCCATAAGGGAAATGCGGCTACAATTACCATTACCTACAAAGCCAGTGAGTATTATAAATTTTAATTAACTTTAATTATCCCAAATTTTTTACACTAAAAATAATTATAAAAAAATTATTTGTTAACTAAAATTTTAACATAGTAAATATTTTTTTTTGCATTTTTAATGTGAAATATATGGATAATACATAAATACTTTATAATAAATAAATGATTATATTTAATTAAACATTAAATAGACCAGGATAGCGCAAAAGCTAAATGGGATTTGCACGCCATTGTTGAGGGTAGAGATGTAGACATGTCTACATTGTTGCCCGACTTTGACAAAGATGGCTGTCATAGCACTCCCTGTCCTATCAAAAAGGGAGAGATGAAAATGTTTACCCAAAAGTCTATGGTTCCCGACTCTGTGCCCGATATGGACGCCGTGTTTAAGCCCATACTTGTCGGCGATAATGGAAACCTGTTTTGCGTGACATTTAACGGAGTAATCAAAAAGTAAAATTATAAATTATCATGTTTGATCTAATTAATATTATAATTTGATACGTATTTTATGAAATAAAAATGATTCATTTTTTAATAAAATGTTTTGCCAAATTAAAACCTGTGTAAATTGATTATTTTTTAATTGATCAATAATGTGGGCAGTTTAAATATTAAAAAGTTAATTGATTTGATATCCATAATACTTGTATAATGTTGAAACTAATTATTTGGTTGTTGAGCAAAATCCATTTGTAAACTAAACAAAACTTATGGATATGTATTTTGATACTAATTAAATTAGATTACAGTTTTGTATTTTGTTATTTTCAAATTTAGTGCATTAATAATTACAATTATATAATTTATAAAATTGTACATGTACAGTATTATAACAATTGATAACATCTCTATACTGTATAACTGTCAAAAAATATTGTAATAATTAAAGTATATTATAAAATTTTATTTCTACATTATGTATGGGATAAATTTATTCGAGATTGTTTTTCTAAATGTTTGATAATAGTTTTTTTAGCTCAGAAAAATTCAATTAGAAAATATTAAGAATTAAAAGTACACGTTAAAATATTCCATTAATTTTATGTAAATTACAAAATAGTAAATTAAAAAAATAATTACAAAATTTATTAAAATTTTAAACTTCTTATACGTAAAACATAATATTTCATAACTTCAATAATAATCTTGAGCATTTATATAGCCCCTTTCATTAGGTTTGATTTGTGTCAAAGTGCTTACAACTATACGCTTTAATACTGTTTTTAATTTAAAAGTTTTAATTCAAATAATACAGTGAATATAAAACAATTTTATATTGCCTGTTAAAATTTATAAATATACAGTATTATTAGTTTTTACTTTACTTTATACATAAGATGTATGTAGAGTGAAATAAAAGTACAGCAAAATAATGACATGCAATTTATTACGATTTAATAAAACTAATTATTTTAACAATAGATATTCATTTACTTTAATATTTAAAATATAAAACTACATGATACGTTTAAAAACGCGTACTGCTTGATTTTGTGGTCGAACTTCACCACCACTCATCAAATATCTTGTGGAAACCCAGCCTCCAACATCATCACCACCACCCGTCACAATTAAATTACTCCACTCGCCCGGAGTTATTTCAATGTCCCATGGTTGCGGATTTGTTGTGCCACCTACAAAACTTATTTTTGTCAACCTGGGCGCGTTTTCTGCCTGCGCCCCCTTTCCAAACGCTAGACTCCCGCCCCCTTCGGCCCGAAAAAACTGGCCGGCATAGGACGCGGTCACATCTGACCACTTGTAGCCGGGCCACAGTGTGTTGGGATCGCTCTGGTCCGGCAACTGTACGTATATAAAACCAATCGGTACCTGACTTTGTTTCAACTTGGTGATTTCCGCGAGTGTCTCATCCAATAGACGGCGATTGTCCCTGATCAGACGTTCGGTACGCTGGCCCGACCACATCACCACACGCTTGCATATGTAGGCATTCTTTTTGGTGCATGGTACATCTTGCCATTTGCCTAAATTACCTTGCTCGGGTACCATTTCGACGCAATTGCTCTCGTTAATAGGGTGACCAGTCAGCCAGTTTTCGTACTCGCCGCTACTGCTGTCCGTCCAAACAATATGTTTGTTTTTTATGCTGGCATCCAGATATAAGTTTTCTACCATCTTGTATTTGACAATTAACTTATTTAAGAAATCCTGTTCTTCGCGCGAATTAATAGTGGGTAGCGTTGAGTCGAGTTCTCCCCGACAGGCGGTCACCACAGTCTCGAAGTCAGCCAACCCTTGGGTGAAATATTTATAACATATATCGTAATAGTCGTCATGAAATAGATCCCAACCATCGCCGCAAACTCCTTCACCGTTAATCAGTTTAGCTATTAATGAACGTAAGTTATATTCATTATATTTAAAGCCATACTTTATTTTAGTAATGTTTGCATGTTGTTTTACTTACAATTAAGGGTTAAAATCAATGCGCAGAAATATTTTAAAAACATACTAATATATTAATTTTAATATATTTAAAATGCAAGAATTTAATATATATATTAACTAAAATAACTTTGTTCACGTAATGTATGATTAATATTATTTTTTAAATATTATTATCAAGTAACTTTATTTGATTATGATTTAATTTAAGTTAATGAACATATGTTTCCAAAATAAACTACTTCCCATCCGTGTATTTTAAAAAGCTGCTTATTTATTATTATCATTATTTATTTGGGCTTATTTGAGAATTTCATAAAGCAACGTTCAGAATTAAAATTATTTGGTAAGATATTTTACAATTTTTAAAAATTAAAATATACTAAATTGAAAAAATAATTTTAATCTAACAAAAATGACTAAGTTGTTATATTTATTAATTGCAATAGCCATTGTATCAGCCCGTCTTCGCTACAAAGATTGTGGTAAAATAATAATTATTAACCAATAAAATTATAATAAACATGATTTTTAATACATTATATGAGGCGATTGCTGCTAAAAGGGCATGAGCGAGTCTATTGCGACCGATGTTAATAGCATAAGGGGCCATAGATGCTTCACTTCAATACTATCAAAGGAGGCAATGCTTAACTGCAATACTTGCAAAGCGTGGCTATAAGTTATACTGAAGCATTGCAGTTAAGCATTGCCTCCTTTGATAGTATTGAAGTGAAGCATCTATGGCCCCTTATGCTATTAACATCGGTCGCAGTAGACTCGCTCATGCCTTTTTAGCAGCAATCGCCTCATATAACCAATATATAGGTAACGGTGAGGTTAAAAGCATTGGGATTGACCACAATGGAAATGAGATCACTTTTGATGTTCTATACATAGCCAGTTAGTACCACAACATAAATTTTATTTATATATTTAAACAAATTTTAGCATGGACATTGCAAAATTAAAATAGACATTAGTATTAGCACGTTGATTATTATAAATTTTGAGTCTTATTATATTTTTATTTAATCCGCAAATAGACCAGGATAGCGTTAATGCAATATGGGATTTGCGGACTTATGTCAATGGGTTTCAGATACCCATGTCTGCACTCATTCCAGACTTTGACAGCGATGGTTGTCACGACACTCACTGTCCCATCAGAAAGGGTGAAACCAAGGCATTCAACTTCACACTTGCCATTCCCTACATTGACCCGAATAATACGTTTTTGGTTAGACTTATCGGCGATAAGTGTAACTTGTTTTGCGTAAAAACTAACAGTGGACCTTGAATAAATTAATTGTTTGACATGTATAATTTTTGTTTACTCAAATATAATTATTAAATGTATATAAATTATAAATAAATGCTTGAGTTAAAATTGTGGTTAGCTATTATTTGGCTCAAAGTTTGCAATATTATTTATGTAATTATATTAATTAGTAGTACAAAAACTATATCCTCAGAATCATTGTAAATGTAATCATGAATATTATGACATAGAAATACTATAAATTCAGAGATAACTGATTCTAATAATAAATATTGGTTATCACACTTGGCCATCATCTAGTTATTAAGCGCTTCAATAATAATCATGTACATTTATTTGATGCTTTTCATCAAATTTGTATCTACGACAATAAATCACATATTTAACAAAACATACGGATTATTAAACAAATGTTAATTAAAACTGTAACTATAAATAAAACCTTAATTTAAATCAATGCATTCAAAGATATTGATAAATTGTTTGGATGATTCTAAGCAGTTTCATTTTAGTTTACTTTCCAATGTATATCCTTTGTTCATTGCCTGTTTTACTTAATAAATTACTCAAATAATTATCAACTAAATATAAATTTAAATTCAAATTACAAATTATGTGCATTTATTTGACCCTTTAGGTTGTATTTAAACAGGTTGACTATAAACCACGAATTCAACAAAACATACGGACTATTGAACAAATGTTTATTAAAACTGTAACTATGAATAAAACCTTAAGTAAATCAATGTATTTTAAATATTTCTTAATTGTTTGGTTAAGATGTACTTTAGATTATTTTTAACACAAAATACACGTCATTTGTTTATTAGCTGTTTTACTTTATAAATTATAAACAAATTAGTTATTTTTACTTGTTTTATCTGTGTAATTTTAAATAAAAAATAAAGTTAAGATAATAACTTTAATAATAGTTCCTGTTTTATTGGATATTGTATGAAAGTTATTTAAGTTAAAATTTTTAACATAACTAACACAAATGAACGCAAAACAATAAAATGACCATGATGATAATAACTGACCTATTTAACACGGGATGTCGTGATAGTAATATTATTGGCAATTATTTTCATTGTATTGATGAATATTTTTCCATACATTTTTTTGAGGGTGGAGGTTGAATTGCCCGGGGTGCCCGGAGTGCCCGGGGTGCCCGGAGTGCCCGGGGTGCCCGGAGTGCCCGGGGTGCCCGGAGTGCCCGGGGTGCCCGGCCTGCCCGACTCTGACTGACCCACCATT